TCTAACTTAGAATTTACTGTTGTATTGTTCAACTGAATCAGTTCTAAGTACCTAGGGGTCCATCTAAGTGTTCGTTGTACTTGTCAACTAGAATTTCTGTTGATTGTTCAACTGAATCAGTTCAATACCTAGGGGGCCATCTAAGTGTTCGTTGTACTTGTCAACTAGAATTTCTGTTGATTGTTCAACTGAAGCAGTTCAATACCTAGGGGGCCATCTAAGTGTTCATTGACCATCTAAATGTTCATTGTACTTGTCAACTAGAATTTCTGCTGATTGTTCAATTTCTTCCATTGTCAATGTTTCCAGATGACCCAAAAATCCAAAATTTGAAACAAGTTCTTCAAATGTTGTTCAAGTGAACTCGAAACTGATCAATCACTGGTAGAAAATTCTCTACATGAAACTTCTCTGAAGCTGTAAGGTTTGCTTCTGGTTCTCATCCATAGTCCAGATGATTAAGGTGAACATTTCTTTGCTGTTGACGTTTCTGCAGGCTCTTTATATATCCCTTTTTGTCCAAAATTCTGTAAAATCGTTTGATAAATGTTCGGGCCATACACCAATGTGATTTTCAGCTTCGGCTTCTTGATCATTTTCTCCATTTGCAGCATGATCTGCTTGATGTTTTTCTTCTACGATTTCTTCTTCTTCCTCAACATCTATCATCTTTTTCTGCTTCATCGTCTTTAGGTCTGAGATCTTTGCCTAGTACAGCTTCATCACTTTGTTTTACAGAAGATGCTGATGCACTCTTGAACAGATCAGAAATTTTGGGTATTTTTACTAAGGCAGCTTGCTCTTGCTTTTTTGTATCGTTTGCTGCCTAGTGATAGTTTTAAACTAAAATATAAAGTACATATAATTTGATGCAAAAACTCCACAAATTCAGATGACTTTTTTTTTCCATACATGCCTCAAATTTTCCATATCTGGCCAGAAACATACTTCAAACAATAAAAAAATTTTGTGTGTGGGGCCCTGGGCAAGTGCCCATGTTGCTCACCCTTAAATCTGGCCCTGCTGTAGTGACTCCTATTTGTTATAGTTGTCACTGTCTAAACTGACTCCTGGTTAAGTTTTCACTATGTAAAGTGACTTTTTGTTATGTTTTGTCACAGTCTAAACTGACTCCTGGTTAAGTTTTCACTGTATAAAGTGACTCTGTTAAATGTTGTCACTGTCTGATATAACTAGTGTAATTAATTCATGATGTTTATCAATGTGAGATTGATTCATTTCATCAAAATTCTTTTATTATTTGTTCAACTACAAAACATAATTGATTAAATTATTATTTTTAGTATGCCTTTTATTCTCTTGGTACTGTTTTGTGTTGATAGTCTTGCATAAGAATTTGAACCTAAGCCATTTCTTAAAAGAGGGATCTTCTTAGCAAACATGAAAACATCTCTAGAAAAACATGAAGATATTTAGTAAAGAAGGAATGCTTCTTAGTAAACATGAAAACATCTCTAGAAAAACATGAAGATATTTAGTAAATAAGGAATACTTCTTAGTAAACATGAAAACATCTCTAGAAAAACATGAAGATATTTAGTAATGAAGGAATGCTTCTTAGTAAACATGAAAACATCTAGAAAAACATGACGACATTTAGTAAAGAAGGAATGCTTCTTAGTAAACATGAAAACATGCTTACAAGATGAGAACATTTAGAAACGAAAGAACGCTTTCTAAATAAACTTAAAATATGGTTACAACAACATGAACTGAAGATATTTTGTAAAAAAAGGAACACTTCTTAACTCAGGATGCACCTTCTTTGTCCACAAGTGTGGAGTATGTTTTCATTGGCTGCACTTCCCAAGATTCTGATTTCACTGGGTGTAATTCCAATGTCACAGTCTTGCACAAAATACAATATGAGTCAGTCATTCTTCATCACTGTTTGCAAGACTGTGACGTTGGAATTACACCCAGTGAATTCAGAATCTTGGGAAGTGCAGCCAATGAAAAAAAATACTTCACACTTGGGCATCCTGAGTTGAATGTAAATCAAACAGTGTCATCTTTGCTTTGGAACACATCTTACTAAACATGAAAGATAGGTAGAAGCACACGATCTGTAAACATTAAATGAAGGAGAAATGGATCTAAGTAGGGTTTCAGATTCACCATTCTTCTTTTCTAAGGCTGTTGCTGAAGAGGTTCATAAGAAAAAGATTATAGAGAAGGTCCAAACAACTAGGACGACCCAGTTTCGAACAGTACATTTGAATAATATCCCAGTACAGACTGTAGGAGGAAGAGTTGTTGGTAAGTAAGAGTCTGTGTTTCTTGGTGGAATTACAAAAGTAGCTCACTTTATTATGAACACTATATAAGTTAAAATGGAAATACTTTACTGAGCCATTAATCAAAGAATTTTCAGAGATCTGTAGCCTTAAGTCTCTGTTGATGTTATGTGGAAACTGTGAGAAGGATTGAAAAATGTTGATTGTTTTAACAGAAAATACTCTAAGAAATCAATAACATTTCAAAATACATGAATTGAAAAGCTATTGGCACTTTTAAACACTCTCAACCTGAAGTAGTGTTGTCAGTTTTAACACTTTAAAATTCATATTATACTGGCACTTATAGAAGTGCTTGTACTTAACATTGTGGGAAATTGAATAAGTCTTCACACTAAGTAGATATTGTGATACTCTTAGAGAACCTTGGCAGTTTCAATTCTTCCAACTGTCATTTTTTGGCACTTGATAACACTAAAATAAGTAACTGTTTGGTTTCAGCTGAAGTAAAGATGCCATCAGGAAAGGTGGATAAACCAACAATCATCGACAACCATGATGGTACTGTCAGTGTGAAGTATGAACCAAAAGAAGAAGGCTTGCACGAACTTCACATTAAATACAACAATGAACACATTCAAGGTAATCAAATCTATCTTGATTCTTTTTTTTTGTAACTTAACATTTTCTCCAGTTGTCACTGGACTTCTTCTTGTAGTACAGAATGCATTGCTATTTTAAATAGTGTTTAAAGTTTTGGTGTTAACAATGTTATCTGTATTCTGTTCAGGGAGTCCCTTCAAGTTCTTTGTAGACACTGTCAGTAGTGCAAATGTAACCGCTTATGGAACTGGTCTTACACATGGAATAGCAGGAGAACCATGTAACTTTACAATTCACACAAAAGGAGCAGGAGCAGGTTTGTGTTTACAAACTTTTTATAATTATTTAATTAATTAGGCTGTGTTAGTTAAACATGATTTATAGTTTTTCGATCACTAGAGACCAGGGGTGGGAGTGACTGATTTTAATAACCTGAAGCTATGTGCTTCTCAAACAATATACATAAAGTAGAGTTTTAGCCTTAATTGACTGATCTTGCTTGTCTCTAGACTGACATTGGCCTTTTTCATTATAAAAGCAGAAACCTTGTCCCAATCAATAAACAGGGGAGTAATCAATTAACTGTACTTGTCTACACTGCCAAAAATACTCTTCAACCAACAGTATATAAGAAAGGAGGACAAAATCTAGTATTGACAGTTGATAAACACCTATGAAGTATGGAACTGTAATTTACTTAATGATATTACAAGCCCAAATAAGGTTTTCCAGTACCTTTGTGTTAATTCTGTGGTTAAGAATAGTATGTTAATGAAGATAATTATAATAATAAGTACATTATATAAAGTGTCCTGAAAGATTTGTGTTGGTTCTGTAGTTAAGAATAGTATGTTAATGAAGATAATTTGTACATTATATAAAGTGTCCTGAAAGATTTGTGTTGGTTCTGTAGTTAAGAATAGTATGTTAATGAAGATAATTTGTACATCATATAAAGTGTCCTGAAAGATTTGTGTTGGTTCTGTAGTTAAGAATGGTATGTTAATGAAGATAATTTGTACATCATATAAAGTGTCCTGAAAGATTTGTGTTGGTTCTGTAGTTAAGAATAGTATGTTAATGAAGATAATTTGTACATCATATAAAGTGTCCTGAAAGATTTGTGTTGGTTCTGTAGTTAAGAATAGTTGATGCTATAATTATGATCCATACTGTAATGCAGCTTGTATCTGTATGTCTGTTTATAGGTATGTGACAAAAAATATTCCAACTTTCCCATCTTTGATCACCATCATATTTTCAGAGGTTCTTGAGTATTCTTCAGAGGGATTTTAAAACTCCCAAATTTATTCATTTTGTTTTACCCCCGTGATACTCTCTTACTGCTAGTGAATGTGCAGACACACCCCACTTAGAGGAAGCCAGCAAAAGAAATGCCACACTAGACACAAATACCTTTGCTAGTAGTTTTTAAATGTTCAGTGTGTGTGAAAAACTTCTCCTTACAGAGGCATCACTAGGCATTAGCAGATGGGGCCCATGCCTTGACTGTATTTGACAGTGCCCAGAATCCCCAGTTGGTGTCTTTAAAAATCAGAATAGAAAACCATGATCAGTATCATACTGAAACACCAAAAATTGGGCTTATGGGCCTGAGCCCTGAATATTTTAAATAACTAGCGATGCCTCTGGTGGTAAAATTCTGTATTTAACTTTGTATTTGGTATTCTTTAATATACAGATACGAAAAAATCTTTATGTTGAATCTGCATATCTTCAGTTTTTGTAAGTAATTGTCATGTGATACAATGAAGTTGCATATAAAATGTTTGATAATTTATATTTTAGGTGGCTTATCCGTGTCTATCGAGGGTCCCTCTAAGGCTGAGATCAGTTGCCATGACAACAAAGATGGAACAGTTAGTGTTTCTTACATCCCTACAGCTCCAGGAGAGTACAAAATTATGGTCAAGTTTGCAGATAAACACATTATTGGAAGTCCGTTCACAGCCAAAATTACTGGTAATTATACGAAGGACATGTTTTTCAAATAATAAGTTATAAAAATTATTGTGTATGAAGCCGAATTTGTTTCTTTGACACCCATTTAGAGATTAATGAGAAGTTGTGTTCATATTTTAATATGGACTTGAACACAAAGTTAGTTTTCATTCACCACCAAAATTAGGACATAAGTACTAACTGTCAGAGATGAATATCTTTAGTTTTCGGTGACAATAACACCAAGTATACAAGTACTAACTGTCAGGGATGAATATCTTTAGTTTTTAGTGACAATGAGACCAAATGTACAAGTACTTTCTGTCACACAAGGTGAAGTAGGAGTGAGTTATTTTTGTTTTGACTTGTTACTTGTATTTTTATGTACTACAAGTACTTTTTGTCACACAAGGTGAAGTAGGAGTGAATTATTTTTGTTTTCACTTGTTACTTGTATTTTTATGTACATCATATCATGTTTCCCATTTTATCCAAGAAGCTTTTTAAAAATAAATTAGTCATCTTGCATGATGCTATATATCACATTACAGTTTTCATCAGAAATGTCAAATAAACATGTTTCTAAGCTCATCTATACAAGAAATGAGTTGCTAAAGTACAGGGTTCCCTTCACTGCTTAACAAAAAATTGATATGAACTTGCTAAAGTACAGGGTTCCCTTCACTGCTTAACAAAATTTTAATATGAACTTGCTAAAGTACAGGGTTCCATTCACTGCTTAACAAAAAATTGATATGAACTTGCTAAAGTACAGGGTTCCCTTCACTGCTTAACAAAATTTTAATATGAACTTGCTAAAGTACAGGGTTCCCTTCACTGCTTAACATAGATTTGATATGAATTTGCTAAAGTACAGGGTTCCCTTCACTGCTTAACAAAATTTTAATATGAACTTGCTAAAGTACAGGGTTCCCTTCATTGCTCAACAAAGATTTGATATGAACTTGCTAAAGTACAGGGCTCCATTCATGGCTTAACAAAATTTTATAAGAGCTTTTAGTTGCAGTTATGGTCCTTGAACTCCCTTTAATCGTAAGTGTTAATGCAAGTTACTCTAACAGTTCATTGTTTGTACAAGAAGTACTTTATTTATACTGTTTCTATTTGGTGTTTATCACAGGTGAAGGGAGAAAACGTAACCAGATTTCTGTGGGCCACTCTAGTGAGGTGTCTCTCAATGTTCAGGAGAAAGACATCAAGAACCTGAGTGCCACTATAATAGCTCCCTCTGGCATGGAGGAGCCCTGCTTCTTGAAAAAACTACCTAATGGACATCTTGGTGGGAAACTTAAGTATTATTTGAATAAAATCTAATCAGTATTTTTGGTGTGAAATATAGTTAACTATAGACTTTCAATGCTTAATTCATGTATTCTTTAGTTGCCTAGTGAGACTTTCTGTCTTGAAATTATATATGTGTAATACTAATAAACATTTACTGTAAAAAAACAAAAAATTACTGTTTTGATGACCCAGTAAATAAATAAATATCTGTCCTTACTACAAAACTAATACTATAAAAAGCATAAATTTGCCTTATTCAGAATTAGAAGTCATATGAAAATTACTCCTCAGTGTAAAACTTTACATCACCACATTTTCCTCAGGGATTTCCTTCACCCCCAGAGAGGTTGGGCAGCATGAAGTTCACGTGTTAAGGCTGAATAAACCAATACTTGGAAGTCCATTTAAAATTGATGTCCTTGAGAGAGAGATTGGTGATGCATCCAAAGTAAAAGTGACTGGTCCAGGAATAAAAGAGGGCAAAACCCACCAAAAAAATGAATTCCTGATTGACACCAGGCATGCAGGTTTGTGTTTAGAAATAACCACCAACTTTTCGAATTAACTTACATGTGTTTAGAAATAATCACTGAAATATTTGGGAAACAAAGTTGTCTTTGTAGGTAACTCTAGACTTTATGTTATTATAAGTACATAATACCAGACTTGATATTGTTACGTCTCTGTATGTTTGTTTGTTAATTCTTACAAGATACAAGTCCTTCTTTATAAAACTTGTTTATTCTTCCTCAATACAACTTTGTAATATACTCAATTTTCACAGTTACACACACTATAGTTCACAACAATTCACTCACTTTCTATCGCGCTTAGACTTAATTGTCCGTCCCTGCAAACTATAGTTCCGATCTCTGTGTCTGCTATCCTCAGTTCCCGCCGACTTTAATCGCTGTCTTTCTTTCTCTCTCTGCCTGCTTCGTCTCTGCCTCCGTCTCTGTCTCCACTACTGCTTCGACTCTGTCCCTGTCTCTCACTGTCTAGCGCACTTATATACGATAATACTGCCTGTTCTAGAAACTTCTAAGTCTCTCAACACGTCAATTGACTCCCGCTGTTGTAACACACTAGCGAATCTTCTAGAATACTCGTCATGTGACCCTCACTGTCGTAACAATATTATTATAAGTACATAACTCTATACTTGATGTTATTGTAAGTACATAATACTAGACTTGATATTATTATAAGTACATAATACTAGACTTGATGTTATTGTAAGTACATAATACTAGACTTTATCTTATTATAAGTACATAATACTAGCCTTGATGTTATTATAAGTACATAATACTAGAATTGATGTTATTATAAGTACATAATACTAGCCTTGATGTTATTGTAAGTACATAATACTTGACTTGATGTTATTGTAAGTACATAATACTAGACTTGATGTTATTATAAGTACATAATGCCAGACTTGATGTTATTATAAGTACATAATACCAGACTTGATGTTATTATAAGTACATAATACTGGCCTTGATGTTATTATAAGTACATAACTCTATACTTGATGTTATTATAAGTACATAACTCTATACTTGATGTTATTATAAGTACATAATACTAGTCTTGATGTTATTATAAGTACATAATGCTAGACTTGGTGTTATTATAAGTACATAATGCTAGACTTGATGTTATTATAAGTACATAATACTAGACTTGATATTATTATAAGTACATAATGCTAGACTTGATGTTATCATAAGTACATAATACTAGACTTGATGTTATTATAAGTACATAATACTGGCCTTGATGTTCTTATAAGTACATAACTATACTTGATGTTATTGTAAGTACATAATACTAGTCTTGCTACTATTCTAAAGACTGCATTGTTTTTTGAGTGACATCTTGTTGTTATCTTTGTTTGTAGGTCATGGTGGGTTGAGTCTGTCTGTTGAGGGTCCTAGCAAGGCAGAAATTGACTGTAAGGATAATGAGGATGGAACACTGAACGTCTCTTACATGCCAACTGAACCTGGTTACTACATTGTTAATATCAAGTTTGCTGATCATCACATTCCAGGTATGTGTCTCTCACTCTCAAAGAAAAGTCACCCTAACTTCCAGTAGTCTTTTAACGTGAACAGAACTTATATGGTGTCAGTAAACAGCTGTATTGATCCAGACAGTATACTCACCCGAGTGCTGAAGTCCAGTTATTCTAGTAGGGATCTGTAATTAGCAGTATAAATTATTAGTATATAAGTGTTTATATTGAATGAATTTTAATGGTACTTAGAAGAAAGCTTAATTCTCTAAAGTTACAGCATTGTTTGCTTTTTGGACTTAATGTGACGGTTATAGTTACATTTCATTATAGGAAGCCCCTTCACTATCAAGGTAGCTGGTCCAGGTTCCAACATCCAACGAGAAAATATCAAGAAGCAGAGAGATGCTGTTCCTGTTACTGATGTTGGGTCAGAATGTAAACTTACTGTCAAGATGCCAGGTCAGAGTACAGCTGTCAGCAGTCTGATTATTTCAATACTAGCTAGATATAGTGGATAATGACTTTAACTGTTATGTTGTGATCCTAGCTAGATATATTGGATAATGACTTTAACTATTATGTTGTGATCCTAGCTAGATATATTGGATAATGACTTTAACTATTATGTTGTGATCCTAGCTAGATATATTGGATAGATGACTTTAGTT